CCCGGAATGGACCAGTGTGACCCCACGCGGATTCGGATCCCTACCCCAGGCCCATTATAGGGGAAGGTTGGCCATTGAGAGGGAGGGGACTGGAACACCCGGAATGGACCAGTGTGACCCCACGCGGATTCGGATCCCTACCCCAGGCCCATTATAGGGGAAGGTTGGCCATTGAGAGGGAGGGGACTGGAACACCCGGAATGGACCAGTGTGACCCCCACGGGGATTCGGATCCCTACCCCAGGCCCATTATAGGGGAAGGTTGGCCATTGAGAGGGAGGGGACTGGAACACCCGGAATGGACCAGTGTGACCCCCACGGGGATTCGGATCCCTACCCCAGGCCCATTATAGGGGAAGGTCGGCCATTGAGGGGGAAGTCACCTGGATGATCCGGCTGCTGAAGTTGGACACAGAGTCGTCATTGTGGAAGTCGTGGTTCCAGCGCTCTTGCTCCGCCCTCAGCTCCTCCTCCAGCCTCTGTGACACCCGGTTCTGAGAGACATAGAAAGGTGCTGAGTGGGGTCACCGGGGGAGGGGGATGGGCGCAGTCGGCCGTCACTTACCTGGACCAGGTCGCTGTATTTCTGCTCCAGCAGAGTCCGCATCTCCCGGGGCAGCAGAGGGCCGAGCTCCGAGGGGTTAATCAGCGGAGAGATTTCCTGCCGGGACAAGATGTCTCTGGAGAGGGAGGAGCCACAGACATGTCACACGGGACCCCATAGCAAGAACATTGAGGGGCCCGATAGCAAGAACATTGAGGGGCCCCATAGCAAGAACATTGAGGGGCCCTATTGCAAGAACATTGAGGGGCCCCATTGCAAGAACATCGAGGGGCCCCATAGCAAGAACATTGAGGGGCCCCATAGCAAGAACATTGAGGGGCCCCATAACAAGAACATTGAGGGGCCCCAAATATATTATTTCACTTAAATGCATTTCCCAAAAGATACTGAATATTCAATCAGTGTTTGGGGCCCCTGACTGCCCCTCCCCTGTGTCACATACCCCCGACTGCCCCTCCCCTGTG